GGTCATTTTTTTTACTATCCCCGAAACTAATTAGCTCCCCTTTTTCAAATTATATATAGAGAGCGCTGGCATAAAATGAACTGAACGTAACCTAATTATCTTGAAGTTAAAATTTATATTAAAAAAAAACATATTATTCGATGAAAATCGTTATTTTATGGATATCGTTATTTCATTTAATCGATAATCGTTATTTATTTAGTATACTCTCGATATCTCAAAGTTGAAGAGACTCTTAAAAAATTTCGAAAGAGCAAGTTTCGAAAGAGCAAGTTTAACCTAAGTTCAGAATCAAATATGTTCTAAAAAGTTTAAAAATGAAGCATCTTAAATAGTATATAAAACGTATAGTCATGGAACATCTGCATGAATACTAATAAGGATATTTGCAAAATAGTTGACAATAAGTCTAAGTGCTGCAATGAAAATTTTATTTTTAAAAGCAACACAAAAATTAATATGCATTAAATATAAAGGAATTCGCTTACAATAAAGTAACATTAATGGAGTTAATTATTTTAAAAAAATCTACCATTGTGGCAATCGTTTTCGAAATTGCTTATGAATCAATTTTTCTATTCGAAAAATAACTGTCTACTCATCGTTTTCCATGTTCTCTGATCATTTGAAACGTTTTAATATGTGGGCAGCATTTTTTCTTGGGACGCAGTAATGTTGAATGGTGGTACGCGATGATTTTTCTGAAAAAAATTCATTTTTTACTTCGAAAAGTATTCGACATAGCAAGATTTTGACAAGAAACTCTTCGACATAGGAATTGAAATTAATATTAAGTGGATATGTAAGGCAAAGGGAAAAAATATTTTTTCGACTTCACAAGGTTTTCAAGATCTTGACTGTATAGATAGCCTTTAATGGAACAATTACATATTTCACCAATTGGCAATTGTGAATCGAAAAACATCGCTGTAAAATGCTGGCTGTATTCTCGTGGCATTGCAAGAAAATAATAAAAATAAATAGAAAAGAAAACAGAGCCGATTTGGGAGAACGTGTGTTACCAATTGACCTTTGGATAATTGTTTTCTTTTTCCTCACACAAACCGCCATCCTCTTAGAGCTCCCCAAAAATTACCTTTGTGGCCGCATGCCGCTGTAGGCGATCTTAAAAAACAATATGCATTGTATATGAACAGAGAAAAAATCAGGTGTTCCGTAAGCTATGGGAAAGCATGATTTGTTTATAATTTGATGTTCTTCAAATCATATCATTTCCCTTCATCATGAACTATAAAAAATGAATTGGACTTTAACCTCTCTGTGTCTGTTAGCAGTGGCATTTTTAAGATAATTGGCGATGTTTATTTCTCCGAATATTGTAGTTAATTGATAACTAAAAACTGTTATTTCGGAAAGTAACAGTTTATTCTTATTTAAAAAAGAATCTTAATGTTATACAGTAATTGGAATTCGTCATTCATATATCATTTTGTCATAAATGCATTTAGCGTAATTGTAATTCGGAGTTTTATTTAATTCAATATTCGTTTTTGTCATAGTTGTAATTCAGGAATATTTTTTTCTTCAAAAATTGTAATTTAGAATTCTAGTAAAGTCTAATAAAAAGATATGCAAATGCAATATGTTATCCAATACAGTACAATAAATAAAAACCTTCCTTTCAAGAGTAACAGTTTTATTTATTTATTTATTTTTATTTTTTCTCATGTTTATTTTTTATTTTTATTTTACTTATTTTTTATTTTTGTTTTATATATTTTCATCTTATGTATTTTCATTTTATGTATTTTTATTTTTAATTTATTTTTATTTTATTTACTTTTATTTAATTTGTTTTCATTTTATTTCCTTTCATTTTATTTGTTTTTATTTTATTAATTCACCTTTGTTACAAAATTTTGATGTCATAACTGAAATTTAGGTTCACTTTTGCCCTAACTGCCTTTTGTATAGTTGTAATTCATGTTTCGCTTTGACTCAATATTCATTTTTTGTTGCAATTATGATTGAGAAATTTTTTTTTGTGTCCAAAACTGTAATTCAAGATTCCGATATAGTATGTTATCCCATACAGTGTAGTAACTAAAAATCGTCTTTTTTTAAAAATTAACAATTTTATTTTTATTACTGAAACTTGATGCCACAACTGGTATTCGAGTATTATAGATGTGATAATTGAATTAAAGATTTCTTCAATGTTGCTAAATATATTGGGGGCTAAGTTTTAGGAGGATATAGGTACTCGCATTTCTCTTCGATATTTATTTTCCAGACTGAGATACCTCTTCAAAACAACAATTACTGAAAACTCAGCGTTGCGTAAGAAAGCAGTAATATTAATATGAAGTGTTTTATTTATGTCGCACTAGGGATTAAATTGTGCAAACAATTTTAAGAAAAATACTTACAAGACGAATCAGAATGGGTCAGGGGATGGAGCATTTCTCTTTCCGCTCCCGGCTCGCTCCAACCACTGTACTGGCGTAAAATTTCTTCAGTGGCTGACCTGGATCATGGGTAAGAGTCCCCTTGTCGTCAGGCTGGGAGGTATTCGTGGTTTTCCTCTCCTTGTAACGCAAATGCGGGTTAGTTCCGTCAAAAAAGTTCTCCACGAAGGCAAATTTCTCCCAATATTTGATCCAGGAGTTTCTTAGTCTTCTGGTTTGGGTTCAAAATTACAAGGCTACGGAGTTGAACATTAGCAGTCGTAAACCAAAAATTGGGTCGGTTGTTCAACGACGGTTATGAAACATAAATCGGTTGTTGTTGTTGTTTCCAATCCCAGCTGGGATAGCGGAGCTATACCAGATCCATGAAGCCGTGAGTCTTCAAAAAATCGAGGAAAAGGAGAGGTCTCTCAAGAACCTCTTCCATGATGAAATCCAGGCAATCAAGTAGATGGTGAGGACTAGCCTCGCTGGAGTTGCGCTTTTTACAAGATGGAAAAAGTTTAACTTGCCCACTGAAAGTGAAGCTCACATAAATCAGTTGCAATACGCCATTGGCATCGGTGAAAAATCCCTGAGGTCCCGCAGTGGACTGATCGTTAAGACACGGTTACCAGCAGATCACCGAAGTCAAGCATCACTGGCTGCGGTCAGTGTGTGCGGGTGGGTGACCACTTGGATCAGTCTGCGTAGGGACCGAGGGTGTGCGGTATTGGTCCTCGTTAAACTGTTCTACCGTAAAGTGCTCGAATTCGCGTGCAGGTCGTCGGGCTACCGAAGCGGGTGTGCCATCCCCTCTGCAGAGGATCAAAATTGTGATGGCATGTCTTCGGATCATCCTTAGGGATGCTTCCCAGACCGTCGCCAATAGCCCATTGTGCAGCTCTAGTGCGACGTAAAGTAACAACAACAACAACAAATCCCTGAGAATGATCGAAAAACATGACAATTCTGATCCTCTGCAGAGTTGCTCTCCCGCTTTGGAAGCCTGGTGAGCTGCGCGAATTCGAGCAATTTACTGTAGAACAGTTGAATGAGGATCGATACTCTGCACCCTCGATCCCATCACAGGCTGATCTACGTGGCCACCCACCCTCTCAGTGACCGTTGCCAGTAAGCTTAACTTCGGTAATATCCTGGGAATTGTGTCTTACGATCAGACCACTGTGGGATTTGCATAAGAATGGAATAATCAAGGAAATGAGAACTCTCGTTTAAAATGAGAACTCAGGTTTTTCACTTGTAACAGAGTAGGGGAGAGTGGGGTCAATTGTAACATTTTTTACTTAACTATTTTCAACTATCAAAATATCCAATATATTATTAGTATTAATTGACAGGCGAGTAAATTAGACTCTCCTATACCAGAAAAAATAAATAAATATCTGATTTTAAATGTTATTATATTAGTTATTAACAATTTTTGACAGTCATGCACTTGTCCCCACTTACGGGGTCAATTGTAACAGTTCATAAATTCAACTAAAAAACAGTTAATTATACATATTATCACAGTTGTGATTTTTTTTTATTGATCAAAATAGTAGTGATATTTCAGGAGTAAAAATAATAATGAGCAGAGACCTAAAGGGTTAAACTTTTAACTTTAAGGGGTTANTGTAGAACTAAAAATAATGCTTTATGCCTTTTTTTAAATATAGTCATATTTATTTAATATTTAAAATCTTATCTTAATCAATACCTTAATTGCTTTTTAGTTTTTAATTAAATTTACAGCATTCAATTTTAATATAAAAATTTCTTTGAATTGAAACATCTTATGATTTGTTATAAAAATACACTGTGTAAGGGTAAATACAAAAAATCTCATGAGTTTTTCAAACTAGCTTCTACAAATACGAAAGTTAAGAAAAAAATTCTGAAAATATATATATCAACTGTTTTTATATTATGTTGAGTTTTCTTGTCGTTACTCATTAATTATAATAAGAAAAATCGAACTTAGTAAATAAAATTTTATTTTTATAATGTTTATTTATATAAAAAAAACTAAAGGAGATAAACTTTATGAATGCTAAATATATCAAGCATTATTTTGTTGTTATAACAGTTAAGAATAAAAAATATTAGATGCAAATAAAATTTGGTTCAGATCAATTTTTTATTTATATGCTTATGCATTCTCATTTACTTTGTCCTAATCTGACTAAAGTTTATATCGTCTAATTTATAAAAAAAAACAATAAATGCCCTGTTGAGTAAAAAGTTTTCTGCCAAAAAGTGAAGATTTAATCATTAGATCAAAAGTCATTCAGAGAGGTCCTTTTTTTTGTGCACTGTACATTTTATTCTAAAAACACGATGTTTAAGTATTATATGAACTTAAATTTCAAACTACATTTGGTTTGAGATTCCTCTTATTATAACTACTTGAAAATAATGCTTTTCCCATTTAATTGATATTCATAACATAATTTAAAGCTAAATAGAAAAAATATTTATTGCAAAATACAAATCCTATACATATATATTCAATTTTATTACTTTAAGCTAAGCTCCTAAATTATTAATTTATAAAATAAGCATAACAAGAAATACAAGCGTAGTAAAATTCAAAAAAAAATATTATGATTCATGATTCTTGTTTACCTGTAAAGTAACTTTAAGTTCATTCATAGCTTCTTCATGTATATCACTATAATTAGTTTTCAAAGCTGATTTGAGGACGTAAAGAATCTTTCTCTGTTCTTTTATCTTTTCAAAGACCAATTGAAAACACTATAAATAAATAAGAAAAATTAATTGAAATTTTTAAAATGACTTAGCGCATAAAGAAGCACTTTAAATAAATAGCTTATTTTGTAATGATAAAATGATTTTTAATGTTTTTTTAATTAAAAATAAAAAATGTTATTTAACTTATAGTCTAAAAGTTGCATTTCTACTGAATAATAATTTTTTTTAATAGTATAAAGATTATTAGAGTTTATTAAGTTATAGAAGATTGCTTTGAGATTAAATTAAGAACAAATCAGTAAAAATGCTTCATCTCCAGTTTACAAATAAAAATAATTTTAAAAAAAACACCCATTGCAAATTTATTATTAAAAATATTGTCTGAAATTGAAAATAAAATCCATAATTTTCTTTTAGTAGTTTGTCTTCCTTGCATTGTTAAATTTAACAATCTTGTATTAATCTGGACGTAATATTCATTAAATATAGACATCTGGTAACCATATTAATTTCTGAGTATTTCATCAATTGAGATTTTCATGAGGAAAAGATGGATAAATAGAGAGTTTTTTTCTTTGTAAATTAGATTAAATTTTGAACAAATTTAATACCTGTCAGACTATTGTAGAGTATTTTATACACTTCAGATGATTTAAGATTCAATGCAATTTGTATAAATTACACTTAAATCTGAAAATAATATTTTAAATAACAAATAATAAAGCTATTGTATCTATTTATAGAAAAAGTAGTAAAGTAAATTGAGCAAAATTACTTCTTTTTCAAAACTGGGATAACTGAGAGCTTTTTCTAATATAGAAACAGCCACTGCCAGTGATTCTATAGAGTTCAGATCAATCAATTTACACATCAATTTGGTCCATTCGTCATCCTTAGGTTCCCTAAAAAAATTTAAACAATATTAATTGATATTGGGAAATAATATAAATTGATATTGCAAAATTTTATAGAGATTACTACAATTTCTGAAGGTGTAATAAGCATGCGCAAACATTATGTCCTGATAATGACATTTAAAGAAATTTTTAAATGAATTGCACATGGTCATTAGAATAAGTTTATCAAGTAATTCTGAATTTAATATATTTAAAAAAATATAAAATACAAAGCGCAAAAAAAAAAAATTTAGCCTGATCTTTATGTAATAAATGCCTATCTTAATGGCTCAAATGGTTGACCCAATAAATATGCTAATTAATAAGTCTTAACTATTAAATTAATAAATTAGACACAAAAAGCAACTTCCTCTGAATTGAATACTTCCTCTGAATAAACATACCATGCGCAAACATTATGTCCTGATAATGACATTTAAAGAAATTTTTAAATGAATTACACATGGCCATTAGAATAAGTTTATCGAGTAATTCTGAATTTAATATATTTAAAAAAATATAAAATACAAAGCAAAAAAAAATTTAGCCTGATCTTCATGTAATAAATGCCTATCTTAATGGCTCAAATGGTTGACCCAATAAATATGCTAATTAATAAGTCTTAACTATTAAATTAATAAACTAGACACAAAAAGCAACTTCCTCTGAATTAAATACTTCCTCTGAATAAACATAACATTTCCGTCAGATTTGGATTAGTGACAATCAAAATAGGGAAGCTGCAATCTAGGAAACATGAATCTATTAGTTTAGTTAGACAAGGGATCACACATTTGGGGCCCTTTATTAATTTCTTTGCATATTTCATTATATCTTATATACATCCATACCTATCAACTCATATAGTCGTTGAAAAAGATTTTACGAAGTGGTAGTAAGACAGTTACGTTTGGAAGAATTTTCTAAAAACAAAACTGTTAAGTCATCTATAAGCATACTTTGCCAAATAGATCTTGTCGTGGCAGTTTAAAAATTTCTTTGAAACTTAAAACTTCAAGATATAATACACCGGAATGCTAATGTTGCTACCACTAAAAAACTTATTTCCCAATGACTGTAAAAGTTGACCTCTATGTACATCACTGAGCAAGTGAAAATCTGCTCTTTAAAACAAAAGTTATTTAAGATTATGTTTTTAGCATACTGTGCTATTATCACATCAATAGAGTAACACCTCATAAAGTTCCCCCCCCCCCCAAAAAAAAAACCCAGCTGACTTCATACTTATTTTTTNAAAAAAACATCTCAAACACTTTACAATTACAAATGTCTCTTTGTTCTTTAAAGGGACCTTGAAAATTTTTTTAAGTAGTGTGTGTCCATAAATAGAATTTGTGACAAAAATAACACTTAGAAAACTTTTCCTTTCACATTTCTGCAGACATTTTGTTTCTTACTAAATTAGTATGGAAAAAAAATTATTTTTATTGTACAAATACTTTGGTAGGAAGGAATAAATAAAATTAATTAAAAATAGTGCAAGAAAGAAATCGATTTTAAAAAAATATTGTTGATTACTTCAGTTTAGGTTGAATTTTAAAATTTTTCCCTCGCCATTTTAGAGCCAATAATTAGAGCAATGCTCTTTTTTAGCTTTAATTTAGGAAAAACTTTGTTTAAAAATTAGAGTCACAGGTTAAAGCAATTAAAACCATTTTGCAAGCATATTGAACTTAAGGTGTCACCTTTTTTCAGTTGACGTGAATGGAGGCCAATGAATGAGTAGTTTGGAAAGAGACTGAAAATGCTCAATATTTCGGCATAAACTTAATAAGTTGTCAAATAACAACCTTCTTTGGAATTCTTCTTTTATTTCTTCATCAGAAATCTATAAATTGAAATATGAAAACAAGTTTAAAAAATCACAAAACATAAATAAAAAAAAAATAAACACTACAAACTTCATATTATTAGTAAATTATCAACAAATAAATAACTGAATGAATTTCTGAAAAAGGCTTTAACAATATTGAAAGTTCTTATAACAAACATAGGTGATATTACAATTCGTCTAGCACCAAATAAATGTTAAATATTTATTAAAAGATGCGATTATTTTAACCCTTATTAGCTTAATAATTTTAAAAATACTTTTCAAATTAATATTTTAAACCAATGCACATTAAGGCACAGTTAAGTTTGTGTATATTAAGCTTTGAATTAATATTAAACCACTATAAGTACAAAATAGATGATAAATATTATTTTATTACACTTTAAACAACATGTCTCCATTTTAAAATTTTCAAAAATAATTTTTACACCAATATAAATTTATTTCAAACCAAAAAACTAGAGTTAAGATAAGAATAAGTTAGTGTAAAGATCTGACATAATAAAAATAAACCATAGCGCGAAGAGAAATCTACTCTATTATGTAATAAACAGCTATAACAGTTTCATCAAGTAACTAAGATTTTGTTTTATGTACTCAAAAAGTAAAAAATTAATATTGAAAATATAAATTCTATTTTATCTAAATCTAAAGAAATCTACCTAAATTCGAAACATATTCACTGATAATTTTTTTTTCTGAACTCAATAAGCAAAAAATAAAATTTTAAAATCTAAATTCTAATTAATCTCTAAATCTTAATGAAATCTACCTAAATTCAAAGCACGGTATTCTACTTATAATTTAGAATCAATACAATAAATACTTACAACTACATCTGGAAACATAGAGGAAACAACAGCTTGCGTTCGATAGAGCAGTAGCAAATCACCATATTCTGGGGAAAGGCAATCGGTCTGAAAAAAATTTATTCAAATCATGATATATACCACCAAAACTTAAATAATTAATTATGGAAATCCAAAAACAGAAAACATTTGGATTAAAAATATTTGATTTTTTTTGATAACTGATATACTTTTTCCAAAAGCTGGAGAATATTCAATCTCACGGAAACTGAGACATCTGAATCTTGGCAAAACTCATTTAACANAGTTATCGCGATTTTTGTGAATTTTCCTTAATTTATGATAACCAGTGTATATATATACACACAAAGAGGGAGAGCCCCCCTCCCTCCCAGCTGTCACTGAGCATATTTCATGAAAATTTTACAGCAGCGGATACTAATAAAAAATCTGTACTTAATTTCTTCTTTAAAAATTAAAAACGAACACAAAATTTTGCATACAATTTAGCAATGAAAACATGCATTAAGTACATAAAATAGAATAGTAAAAGTCTTTCAAGAGTTGCTTTCGAGAACATTGTATTTAAAGAGCAGACGATAAAATCCTAGACGCGTCTGTTAAAACATGGTCATCGAACTTTTACTGAAAAGTACTATGACTTCTACTTTCAGACTGAATAAACTTTCCGAGATATAGTTCAGACACTTCTGAAGTTGAGTTGCACAATTGATTTTAAAGCGAGAGGCAATACTAAGGAGGCCCTGGAGACGACTTGGATGAAGGGGGACAATTCGCAAGGGAGTCGTAGAATGTTTGGAAAGTGACGAGGAGCTATTATTCTGTCATGAAATCGTTTGTCTTCGGAGAAAAAGAAACACGAGCATTTGGAATCGATTGTTCCTAATTTCCAACATCTATTTTCATCGTTATTTATATTAAGAAAGTTTTAAAGATCTTCGAAGTTCTATCCTTATTTTATTTGAAATAAATCATTTAACGATTAATATGCTGTATTTATAACTGTTGAGAGTTTGCGTTAGTCATTTATTACTGTTAGGTTTAATTTTATCCATCATCTGATAACCAGCGCCCTCTATGTTATTTGTGGAAATGGCACAAAGTGTCAGTATAAAGAAAATTCACAGTTCTTCGAAATAGAAGAACATTTGAGGCCTAATTTTTTAACATTTAAAGGGTTTCTTAAGGCTTCATAATTTAGACCCATAAATCTATGCAAAAATTGAGAATAATTTACTGATTTTTATTAATTTTAATATAGAGAACTTATGTGACTCGATTAAGTCAATTTCGGTTTTATGTTACTAAAAAGTTAACTATCACGAAAGTGATTAAGTAATACGTAATACGTCAAGTAAGAATACGTTATGTATACGTTAAGTAAGAATGAACTTTCATACTGAATTATTAGAGCATAATTTCTCAATTAAGGGCGAAAATTAGAAGTAGGCAATGTATCAGTATATGTAGAAATATCGATATTTTTAAATCACTTTAATAATATTTTAAAATGAATGATCATAGTGAAAACCATATTGTACTATAAAATATGATTAACGATAAAAACCACTATCATTATCGACAATGATAAATATCGAAGGCAATCTGGTGCTTCAAATATTATCGACCACGATATTCGATATTTTCTGACGATTAGTATTTTCTAACAAGAATATGAAGTTTCTAACAAAAATATTGACAATGTAAGTTAGTTGCATCATGATATACCGTAAAATACCGATATTTTCTGACAACTAGTTGTTTCTAAGGAAATTATTGATCACCATATATTCTAAGAAGACATTGAATTAGAGAATTAATTTAAATTGGTTGAATTTGGATATATCATTGTTACATCTTGAAATATCGTCGCTATCTGATGATATATTATTACGTAATGATAAATACGATATCTCTTAGTCGAAAAAAAGAATAGATATTAATAACTTCTGAAAACTAAGAGGAGCACCAAGTTAATTTCTTAATGACGTAATCAAAACACCACCTTCTTTGTGTTTGTTGAACCAATGACACAAAGAATTCCTATTTGTTGGCAACATTATAAAGATAATGAAACGCCTTCGTTAAGACAATATCCATGAGTGTCACAGATCGGATCTGATCCCGGATGCATGTCTGGACAAAGGCCTGACACATCCGCGACTCCACAAGATCTTTTGCGTTGGGTGCTGAAGTCCTCACCTTCACCTTCTGAGGAAAAGAAAAACTCCTCACCGATTTCCAGTTTCGCCTTCACTTTTAATACCTTGACACGCGATCTCATGTGCAATTAGAGTTAATGTTTGAAGGCGCCATCGTGGTGCCCACCCAATTTAGAGATTTCTAGTCAGATTTGATTACCGGGTAATTTATTCAGATGACATGCCATTTTGGACGACATTCGATTGGGAAATATTAGATAGCGATTTTTTTTCTTCTTCTTCTATTTGGCATTGTAAAATAAGTGAAACCACGATTTTTAAATTAGAAATGGTTATTATAAGAATATTCTTCACACTTGCGAATGATAATCATAATTTAATAGATTTAAAATTGGGACAACTTTTAAAATACTCTGGGAAATTTATTCAGGTGTTATGCCATTTTAGACGACTTTAAATTGGGAAATATTAGATCGAGATTTATTTATTTATTTTATTTTATTTTCTTCTTGGTTTTGTAAAATTGGTAAAACCACGAGTTTTAAATAAAATAGTTATTATAATTAATGAACATGCTTTACATTTGCGAATGTTAATCACGTTTTTAAACGATTTAAAACGGGAATGAATATGAAAATTAGTCAGATGACATGACATACTATTTTGGACGACTTTGAATTGAAAAATATTAGATCGCGATTTTTTTTTTATCTTCTTTCTGAAATTGTAAAATCAGTGAAACCACAATTTTTAAATAAGAAATAGTTATTATAATGAATATTCTTTACATTTACAAATGTTAATCATAATTTAAACGATTTAAAACGGGAATAACTTTTAAAATACATTGGAAAATTAGTCAGATGACATGACATACTATTGTGGACCACTTTCAATTGAAAAATATCAGATCGTGATTTTTTTTTAATCTTCTTGGTATACTGAAATCAATGAAACCAAAGTTTTAAATAAAATAGTTATTATAATGAATATTCTTTACATTTGTAAACGTTAATCATAATTTAATAGATTTACAACGTGGACAACTTCTAAAATACACTGCGAAATTGATTCATATTGATATGGCGTTTCAGACGACATTCGATTGCGATTTTATTTTTATTCTCTTGATATTGTAAAATCAGTGAAACCATGATTTTAAAATATGAAATAATGAATGTTCCTGACATTTGTGAATGTCATCAGTAATTTAATAGATTTTAAACGCGGACAGATAATAAAAAAAATGTCCATCTGTCAGTCGAAGTTACTGCACGCTTTTCTTGGTAATACTAGGCGGGGTCTGTCAATCTCGACCCTTGTGGAAGTTCAGTTGTTGACTAAAAATATGATATTTTTTTAACTACAGATATCAAAGTATCTGACGTAAAATTGTTTCCCATGAATTATAAAAAATATGCCACCCAATTGCGGTCCTATTCCCAAGCCTCATTTTATGACTTTGTCATTGGGATCTAAAAGGTGGTGAAAAGTTCGGTGCAATTATGTTGCTGGAAGAATAAAACATAGGCGTCTATAGAATGACATGAACAGTGAATATAATATGTTGGCGCCAAAATAACGCCTACCCCCTTTTTCCAATCTTTTAAAGTTACACCCTCGCACGTAATCTATGAGAATGACATTAATAACAGGTCAGATTATGTAAAATAAGTTTAGTTGTTAAGCTCTTTGATGTTTACCTTTACGCAAGCAACACTGCGTGTCATAAGAGGCATTATATAAACATGGAACTTGTATTTTATGTAAGCGTTTTACCGTAATTATAAAAGTATAGATTATGTAATTGGTATTTTTAATATAATGAATTGATTTCATTATGATCTGGTATTAAATTGTGATCGTTTTCGATTACAATAAGTTTAATTAAATTTCAAAAACACCAGTATATCTGCTGCATTAAAATGGAATGTTTTGCAAAAATGCTTTTCCCATCAATTAAATCGATTTAAAAATGCGCGGCAACTTTATGGCTGTGTTTCGAAGGCACCGTCGTAATGCGAATATGCCTTTTTTAGAAACTGCTGTGAGTTTGCAACGGTTACTCATGACTAGGACTGGGCGATATTAGAAATTATATATCGTGATATATCGTCAGTTTTGCATCGCGATATAGCGATGTATCGCGATATAGTATTTTTGAATTTCATTTACTTTAAGGCACAGAAAGTCAGATTTCTATCAAGACTTCATACGCATATTGATTTAAATCAATTTATAAATTTGAAAATATATATGTTTTGCTAAAGAAAGATATTAAATAAATTGACTAAGATGTACAAATCTTACTTAAAATATTTATTGAAAAAATGTGTGTAGATACAGAATGAAATATTTGCACTTCTTTATCGTTTATAAGGTATAAGCAGTCTTAATTTAAGTTAACCCCTAAAACACCCTTAATGAAAAAAAATATTGTTATTAAACAAAAGCTGATTTTAAAATTTCAAAATATATTTTAATTAAAATAAAAGTTAGATTGACTAAAAGCCGAAGTTTAAAATTAAAAATGTTCGAATTTTAAACTAAAAAGTAAACATAAGATTTGTAATAATTTCTTAAAATTTTCGTTCTCTGAAAGATTTCTCAGTTTAAAAATAAAAAGGGAATTTTATAAAGATATCTAGCTGAAATTATTGAAAGAAAATTTAAAAAATTAAAAAAAAAGTTTGTTAAGAAATTCATTATACACTTAAAACAAAGTGTTAAAAATATTTTTTTTTTTTTAAAAAAAAGAAACTTTTTTTAACAAATCAATATTTGCTTGTACTATTATGCGTAAATAATTACAGAATTATTAAGTTCGATCGTAATGTTCAAATTCTTAATGAAGAAGTAAACACAAGTTTTGTTATATTTTCTAAAAATGATCACGCAAATAACAAAAGATTTCTTAGTTTAAAAATAAAAAAATAAATAAAAGTGAAATTTATCAATATATTTACCTAACAGCATAGGAACAAAATTTAAAAAATAAGTTCGTTAAAAAATTATTTGTATGCTTAAAACAAAGAGCTAAATAAATTTTAGAAAAAAAATGCTTCTTAAACACTATTTTTATTATTATTTCATATAAATAATTAAATTAAATTAA